AATATTTAACACTTTTTTGTGTTGATTTAACAGAATAAATGTTAAATTAACACAAAAAAGTGTTAAATATTTAACATGAAAATTTTTAACACAAAATTTTTTGACACAATGACGCAAAATTTTTTACGGTGTAGATGGCCGGACACAAACTTGTAGTTATGTTCATGTGTTAGTAAGATTAAAAGCTACACCTATACACACTTATAAGCGTGAGTGCGACTGAATCGCCATATTGTTTGTTTTCTACGTGTCAAATTACATTGTAGTTTAATTAAAGATGACAGAAGATTTCAATCTTTGTACGCATAGAATTTTTTCGCACTTTTTTTTGTTAAGTTGTAATTTATTTATTTAACATTTTTTTTGTCCTGTAATTTTATCAACATGTTAAATATAATAATAAAATGGTTTTTGAACCATATTTATATAAAAATTAGTAAATTTAATAAATAGATTTTTAACTCATGAGGAAATATTGTTATATTACTAAACATAAAATTTTAATTTTTTTTTAATAACTCGATATTGAATTTTAACCTACGTTCGTATACCGAAATGTTACTAGATTTACAAAATTTTATACTGTATAAAATTTCAATCATTAAAATTAATCAATATTGAAATTAATAAGATTTAGATTTAATAATTTTAAAGGTTTTTTTAACAATAAAATTTTTAAAAAATTTCACATCAAGAAATTTTTAAAAGGTTTAAAAGCAATTTTTTAAGAATGATTTTTAAATAATTATCTGTTAAAAAAGAAAAAAAAATGAGAAATTTTAATTCTACAATAAAAAAAAATCATAAAAAAATGGCATACTGCGAAACTGCAGTGCCTGTATATGGAAGTGACAAATTACCTCGTCTAACCTATCCGATTGCCCCCCAAATTTGGAAATCGCGGTAGTTCGAGGATGACGTGAAGACTCAACCGTGCAGGCGTGCAAGTTCGTAGCGTCTCCATGGGAGACGGATACGGAGCTACACGCGCAATCGGGAGCCGAACACAAGTTACTTATGGCGACCATGTGACACCCACTGAGCAGATCTGCCATATATCTATAATCTATACCTAGCGATCAATGTTCAGCTGTGCCATCACTAGCACACACTTCCAATCGACTACACATCTGAATTTATATATATTCAATCTACCCTTATAATAAGCGATTGCGAGAAGATTTTTATTAGTCTATGGCATAAGCCACCTAGGTTCATTTTGTCGTATTTCGAAGAAAATAATTTCTATATGAGCAATCGGCGGTATATAATCGACAGTCTGGTACAGTAGGGAACTGTCAATCTTGCGCGCGCATGCACGGTTCTCCTACCTGGTTTACCGCTTTTTTTTAATGAATTTAAAAAACGCTGGTTTAGATTGTAATGTATTTTTTTTTCTCTTACATAGCTATTATATAGCTATTTTTATTTTTTAATTTACTAATAATTAAATAGTAATAAAAATCATGATAATAATAAATATATTTTTGATACTTTTATACTGGGATTTATATAAAAGTCTCTGTTTTGGACCCTATAAAAGTGACCGTGAATATTTTAATTTTATCATCATATTTTAATTCAACTTTTCTACTATAAGAGATCATCCATTTTTTTAATTGTACAATTTAAGGGATCATTCTGATTTGTATCTTTTGAAAAAATTATTTTTTTTTTAACATTTTTCGAAAGTACATACTGATTAGTGATTTCTTAAAACCTATAAGCACTTTTTTAATATTATCAAGTAGATTCGGAGAGTCATGGATTTGAAAAAAAATAAACTTTCATTTTTTACTCAAAAACGCGTGATATTTCAGACTTAAAACTGGGCTTAGATGTTGTCCACAGTATAAGGTATTTCAGGAAAAAAAATTAGCCCGGTTGCAATGGGGGCATTTTACCCCGGCTTGTCTGGCGAGGGCCTTTCTAAGGGATCAGACCACTGTAACTACATTATTTTACGAGGTTAATGTGGATTTTCGAGTGAAAGAAAATCAAATTCTCAAACAGGCTGAAGAAATTTTGTGTGATGCTGATGGCATCGCTGATTAACTAGGTAAGATTTTTTTTTTTTTTTATTAAAAAAACTTTAACTGACTTGATCTTATTAATGAAATGGAAACCATATTATATCCTAAATAGTAGTAGCTATGGCACGAACTTCAACTTACTCAAAATTTTGATTTTTACAATTTGTTTAGAACTAAAATCTGAGAAAAAAGGCTCATTTTCAAGTTTTTTTGTTTTATTCTCAATCATTTCGTTTTTTATCAATGAATATTAATCTCCATAATTCCTGCCATAAATACTTATATAACTCCGTTCACCCGCTATTTATTCATGTAAGAAATATAAAAAAAAATAAGTTAGAACCAGAATGATCCCTTAATTAATTAAATTTATATTCATAATGATTATTTTTATTAAATATGACAAGCGTACAATAATTATTATCATTATTTTGAATCTAACTTGAGACTGATCTTTCTTATAATTTTATTCGGGCCTTTTAACTTTCTTTTTTCAATCTCAAATGTTTTCATTCTTATTTTAAAATTAATATTAACTCGAAGTAGTAGAAATCGTCATTATATGGTGACGTTGACTAAAAATAACTTAAAATAGTTAAAAGTAATACAATTAAACAATAAAAACTTTGAGAAATCCGCATCTGAAAATAATCTCTCTCGATAAAATTTAAAATGTCAATTTAGACATATCTAGCCGATGTAATGCTTATTGTATTTTTGGCAGTTTTGATGACCTGATCAGTAGATTTTAATTTTTTTTCCAAATCCTGGTTTATGAAACAAAACAAACAAATTATTAGTGAATGTCATCAATTGTTAATTATGCCGTGTAAAAATCATCTGATATCATAATGAGGTTCATTATGAATATCATAATGAATCTCATATTTTGACAAAATATTAAATCATTATAATATCACCATGAATTCATAATAAAGTGATGGTCATATCTGCATAAAATCATAATGATATTTTTAGCCTTTTTAAATCGTGATATAAAATTATTGAGTCATAACTACATACAGAAAATAATGCAAATTAAGTAAATTAAAGAAATTTTTAGGAGAATTAAAATTGTTTTCAAAATAAAAAATAATTATCTTAAGATGCAAAAATTTTTTCAGTCAAAAATTTTTTTTAAACCAAGATAATGTTTTTCTGAATATTTTTCTAAGTTAAGAAAATCAAGAAAGAAAATAAAGTAGTTCAACAATATAGCGCATCATAAAAATACTGTTTTCTCAATTATTATATTTTTCCTCTGATTAACAGAAAAAATGAAAATTTTACTAATCTACCCGTGTAAAAAAAAATCGTCTTAAAATTGTCTTAAAATTGTCGTTCGTTTAAGATCTTAAACGTGACACAAACTAAGACTATTTTAAGACTCTTTTAAGACGCCAAAAGAAAAATTCCGAGAGCAGATTTTTGAAAATTTTGTTCTCGAATTTGTTGTGAAAATTAATTTTTAGATGATTTTACGACTTTCTTACCGCAATATTTTTGAGTAAGATGTTTTTAAATTGAATTTAAAATTGTTAAAAAATTATTATCTGACAATTTTAAGACTTTTTTAAGACGTTCCGTTTTAATGTTCCGGGGCTCTGTCGCTGTTAACCCAATCTTAAAATAGTCTAAATTTTTTTTTAAGATTTTTTTAAGACTAATTTAAGACAATTTAAAGACGCTCCATAATAACTTTCCGGAGCCGTCTTGAAAAAATCTTAAAATAGTCTTAAAAAAATCAAAATAATTATTAAAAAATCTCGGAATTTTTTTTTTTTTTGGCATCTTAAAAGAATCTTAAAATAGTCTTAGTTTGTGTCACGTTTAAGATCTTAAACGAACGACAATT